GGTCGAATTGCTTGTTTCCTCCATTTTTTCATACACGATTGCACCACATTGTTCATTCTGAGATAATTCTATATCCTGTTTTTTGGCCTCCATTGTTCAGCCGGGCACAGACGGCTCATTGTAGGGGAACTTGTGCCTGCTCCGCACATGAAGCTGTCACACACACACATGTGAACCCCAGCCTTTAAGGAGGGGTGGTGGCCAGGAACACACCACTCGCTGCGACCTTTGAACCTGTCCTTGTTAAGCCCTTGACGCCAAAGATGGGCTCAGGAGGGAGTCCTCACCCTTCCCCCCCATTTCCCCTCACAGCTAGCTACATGTTGTACTCGCCCATGGCTAATGGCATGACATGACACACATACACATGCTTACAGTAGGTGTCCTTTAGGACAGTGGTTGATGGAGGATGACAGCTCCTCAACACACACCCTTTGCCCCAACCCTCTAGCAGTGGGCTCCAATATGTGTGTGTGTAAAGTGTTTTCCTTAGTGAGCGGACAGCTGCTACCTCCCTCCCTCCCTCCCTCCTGCTCTTCGCCTCTCTCCTTGGTCCTCTCACTGCTCCAACCTGTCTGTCCATTTGAAGGTAACAAGACTCTGCACTTTGCAGCTCTCCCTCTCTTTCTTATATGAGCCTCAATAATCTAATGCTGCAGCTGTCCGATGGCCAAGCCTGTAACCCTTGCTTTTTGCTTTCCTCCATTGTTAAAGAGGCTGGCGCAGTTTTGGCCCTCCCTACTGCATGGGAGGAAGGGGGAGGGATGGGGGTGAGATGGAGAGGGGAGCAGAGAGAAAGCCAGGAACGAGTGCCATGGAGAGTTGAAAAGCCTTGTTGCTTCCCCACTCCACTGGTTACCAAGGGATCAACAGGGTGCTAAAAGCACTCAGGGGAGGAAGAAATTGAGGGTTTTTAGAGAGAGGGAAGGGAGAGATCCAGAATGATGGAGAGATAAAGAAACAGAAAAAAGAGGGAGAGTGAAGGGGCAGAGAGAGATGGATGTATATTTAGCCCGTGTCTCTCCTCTGCTGTCACTCAGTGCATGGCTTCACCACTGACACGAGGACAGACAATAAGTGGGCTGGCAGTGAATTTAAAAGGAGATGGCTTCTTCTTCTGCCCCCAGTCACAAGGAGACACTGACCCCTACAACACTGACTCAACTCAGCCACTACAGAAAGACAGTCAGCAGCTATCCTTTAGGATTTTACTGCCTGAAATGTCAATCTTAACACGTAATTATTTATCATATTCAGTGTTAGACGTGCTGTGTGTTTGTCTGGTTAGAGCTCAGTCTTTGTCCAGACTCTCTAATGAAGAGGCTTTGCCCTTGCTGCTTGGATGGCCCCGTTTTGACTCTAATGAACCACAGTGGCCACTTAAGCACTGCCTTTTGAATCCAGCGTCAAGTGTCAGTCATGTGTTTCTGTTGTATGGTGGAAATTTACTGCCCGTTGAAGCGTGTTGTGCATTCAAATATGAGAACGGAAACACTCACAATGGCTCGGAAAATGCGCTCCTACATCAAAACACCAGCACTTACAACAGCAGCAGCGTAAGATGGGTGCGTTATTTGTTTCAGCCGGATATCATGGCGCCATGTTTCACTTTTAAGGTGCTAAACATTAGTACATTTTTCACAAAGACATTACAAATCCTGCCAAAGCAGTGGAATGATTCCACTTTAATATGTGTAGTTCAACTGTTCCACAGATGTCCTTGGAAAGAAAGTCGATACCCGACTCAGGAGCGTGTAAGGCCAGTCGCTGCACTTGAATCAAGGAGAAAACTGTGAGGAAAGTTCTTGAAACAAGTGAAGATCTCATCCTGTTTGCAGATTTTTCCACTTTTAGCAAAGCGAGATTTAAATGAGGCTGATTTTACATGATCTTTTCTGCCCCATTACTTCAATTCAAAACTCCTTTTCTCTCGTCTCCTTTCCATTTGCAGCTCACTTTAGTTTGCTCACTCAAGGAATTTCTTTCTCTTTTTATCACCTCTTTCCTTTTGTGTCATTGTCGCACTTCCTTTTGGTTTTTCACACCAGTTGTCTAAAATATACCTGAATAGAGATATCACCTTGCTCTGGTGCTGCTCTCATATCTACCTGTGCCATTTTTTTGTAATTTTACCTGTCACATTCACACACAAACTGCTTGCACTGTGCTTTTTGTCTCGTGGAGGTGAAGAATCCCTTCACCTTGGTGCTGCGATGATAACACTCTTATATACAGTGTCTTTCCTGTTCTGTACTTGTTCTCTACTCTTTTCAATTTCAGCATAAAGATGAGGGAACCCACAACCGATTGCCAACTACAGGGGCAAACTAACAGACAGGAGATTGTTGCTCAGAGCTCCTGTTACTGAAGCTAATTGCATGTCACGTTCTGCGATGATACACTGTGAATCAGCTGGCCTCTTATATCACTCTGTCATCTAATGAGACAAAGACATCGAGCATTTCCGCTGTCAGAATATTCCTTCAGCGTTCATACCTCAGTTTTTGTGAATTTCATCATGTAGCGTACTTACTGTACGTTCAAACCAGAAGCTTCCAAAGAGGCAAAGTCTGTCGCGGACGCCCAAGAAGCTCTAGTCGCTCATCACGTGATTCATTGAACGTTCGATTGTGCTTGTCACTTTAAAGAAGCCGCAAAGCGGACTGCTGGCTTGAAAGCAGAGTAGTTGCTGCTTGCTGTTGTCCAAAAAGCTCATAGTTGGCCTACAGAAAGTTATGTTTGGTCAATGAAAACATAAAACGTATGTCATCCCATTCAAACCAAGCAAGGAAGACTTGCATGCTATGTCGCAACATTAGCCTGCAATTCTCTCCTCTATTACTAACATTACACACTTTAAAACTCACCAGACCAACCAACTACCTCCACGACACGGTCCCAAGCCTCAATCTTTTTATTTTGGTCTCTGTAACCGAACAGCAACATATTATAAAGGACTGAGTGGGCGCGAACGCAAGTAATAAACTTCTCGATATCGATGGAACAAGTGTGCTGTAGGAACCAAAGTTACATGGCTTGTTGGGACCCGCTTCATCGAAGCACGTCAGCATTCCGATTGGTTGCTGCCGAACTGCGTAAGAGCTCATTACCATAAAGTTAAACGAGTTTTAACTCCCCTCCGGACTGCTCCGGTCACTTTGGTCTCCCAAGATGTGCGGCTAATGATCAGGTCGCTCAAGTTGCCCAAGTTGCCGGGCTCTCATTGAAAATGAATGACTTCCGCCGTTTTGGAAGCTCTGGTCGCTGTTGGTTTGAATGTACACCTACAGATGCAGCCACCTTGAATTCCCTGGTCCCCCCAGGTAGATCCATGGTGGATCCCCACTGGGACCTTGCACAGTCGTTGGCTGGCCCCAAGCTAGAATGATATCGGCTGTGTTTACAGTGGAATCTGTCAGGAAACAGTAGGAGGAGGGGAGATTGACTTCCAGTGGCTGGGAGGTGACTGGTAACTGTCTTGGAATTGACTCGCAGCCGGCTGTCAGCTGAAAGGCCTTCCTGTTGGGAGGGAAAATTCGGTGACTGCATCTGTACAGTATATGGTGTTATATTTATACTTCTTGTCCCATTTCAGCTGCATTTTCACAACACAAGTGGGCAGATCCTTTGTAGACACCATATATATGTACCCACATGGGGGATTTTCAAGAAATGCTTTGTGAATAACGACCCCCCCGGAGCACCTGGGACTTCAGCTGACATGTAATTAAAGGCCAAGCTGACTGATTGAGTGACTCATTTTCATACTGCAGAGTTAGAGACGGGAAACAGACACGTACGGTGAGTTGAGGACTCTTAAGGTGGACTGCTGATGAAAATTTCATGCCCCCATTCCAATAAATAAAAAGAGGAGGGAGTCCCTCTGTGCCACGCCTGTGTGTCACCAAAGATATCCCGGGCTCTGAAAGGGGCTGAATGTATTTCCATAAAGAAAGCAGAATGGCACAAGACCTATTTGGATGTGCTTGACATTTTAGTCAAAGAGAGAAAGAGAAAGGTGAGGGGGGATGGCAGTGACTAACAAAGCGTTTCAGCAGACCCTCCCAAGGAGACGATGCGCTGTCTGGGGGCTGACAAGCTCACGTATACACACAGAAAAACACACACACAAGGATCAGCGGTAACTAACAAGCCTGGAAGCAAAAACTGAAATTACCCTGTCCTTTTAAATTTGAATTTTTGATGTTCAGTGTGCTTGTCACTTGTTCATCAAACCCCCCCCCGCCCCCACCACCAGCTCCTCCTGCGACTAACCTTCAACAGATGATTAGCTGAAATTGAACCCTGTGTTATTAAACATGTCTCCCTCCTATTCTACATGCGGCATGTCAGCAGCGTTGCATGTAAGTGCCCTGCTCAATCTGTACCATCCCCATAAAGAGAGCTCAGATAAAGATTTTATCCCCCATTAAAGAGAGCATGAAGCTGCTCTCGTCCCAGAGCCTAGTTAAGTCCTCAGACGTCTGGCTGGCCTGTAAAAACCACCGCCTCCCAACCCCGCTGCCTAATGGCCCTGAAGGAAGATGAGTAAATGAAATGAAGAGAGTGAGAGAAACAAATGACAGCAGGCGCGACCACTTTACTTCACTCCGGACCTGATCGCATCACCACAGAAACCCAGCGGCGGTGCCACGCCCCAGGCCAGACCTGATTGATTGAGCAGGAGCAATCGATTAGGGCCACTTTGTCACTACAGTCACTGAAGTTTTTGGCCGTGGAGGGATGTTTCTGCAGCAGCATCACTGCTCCCGTCTGTACTCCACTGAAAGTCTCTTTTGATTTAGAATTGAGGCCATTACTTGTTCTTGCAGGTAATTGGATTAAAAGCCAGAGGAGAGATATAGGCGAGAGAGGAGGAGATGCAAGCACAGCCAAATAGAAATAATGACATTGAGAGTGTGAGTCTTTTACTTTGCTGGAACAGTCTTTTAATGATTTATTCTGTCTCTTTTTTTTTCTTTTTCTTTCTTTGCTTTTAGGAAGAGGAGGAAGAGGAGCAAAGTAGACAAGAGAGGAGGATTGAGCGGATAGAGCCAGTGGGGAGGGCAGATTCCTCGTTGGAGCATTCACCTGTGTTAAGTCTAGAGTGAGTGATTCCCAACAACCCCCCTGTACCCCACCTTTATGACACACAGCAGTGGTCCCAACCTTTTCTTTAAGACGTACCCCTGCACCCTATCAGGTGAACTCAAGTGCCCTTCATCGTCACCACCTGTCAGGTTCAAAATGTGTTCATTTGAATTTATCATTGAAGGTAAACTATGTAGGATTATAGATTTGTGTTTGTAATCATGCTCGCCAGTGAAAGTAAAAGTTAAACCAACCCCAGATTCACCCTCATTCACCCTCTGTGTCTCTTGGATGCCTGCTGCTAATGATCTGGCACCTGGTTGCAACCTTTTTATAAAGCCTCATCCTCATCTGAGTGTTGTGGGGGTTCACACCCTTAAATGTCCTGAACACAGAAATAAAAATAAAATAAGATAATATAGGCAGAGGGCAGAGTGTCTGCAGATAAATACACTGCTACATACTTCTAGTAGGTCATAAGTAAGATTGAGTCTATGTATTTTTTAGGGGGAAATCCTGCATAGCATACCTTTAACTGGATAACACTATTCAAAATATTTTTTACACCTTTTTACAGTATTGTTACAGCATTTTTCCTACAATTAAACTGCCAGTGTTTAGATTAGTTTGGTCAAGTTTGCAGCAGAAGCTAGATATTTAGCTATTTGAACCATTTAGCTGTGATAAATTGAGATGTTATAAATGGGCAGTTGTAATAGTTAACAACTGCCCATTTATAACATTTAATCAACCCTTTCTGTGGTTTATCTATTACTTTTAGTTATCTAAATGTATGAATTGTATTTTCACTATTATTTTAAGCTACTTTTTAAGCATTCATACAAAACCCCTAAAGTCCCAAAAGGTGATTTTTTAATTTTGTTTTGTGCTCACAAGTTAATTATCACGTGGGAACAAGTTAGTTAATCATTTTGTGCGCACAACATCTTGTGCAAAGTGAGAAGAGAAGTCAAAACAGTTAGCTAAAAGTCCTGAAAGAAGATATTTTTATCTTGTGCACACAAGATAGTAACTTGTTCCCAAAAGATAATTGTCTTGTGCGCACAGAATAAGGAATATCACCTTTCGGGACTTAAAGGGCTCCGTACATTTACACATTACTTTAGCTAACTGTGTAGACTTCTCTGCTCATTTGCTAACTACTTTAAACAAGTAACAGCTGATTCAATATAAGGACATGTTTATTTTCTACTAAAATTTTAATTTTATTTTTTTCAAATGAGTTGAACTGCATCATAATATTTCCATGTAACCCCTGGTAACTGCAGAGGTTCCTCCAACCAAGGGTACAAGTACCTGTGGTTAGGGATGACAGCCATACAGCCTCATCTTTAGGTTGATTCACCCAAATTACAGTAAAATAAAATTTTTCACCCCTTTTGGTATCTACCCATCTTAATAGTTTGTCATTTATTTGTCTAGGTAAGAGATATTCTTATCTGATATTTGTGCCACCACAATAGAATTTGGTTTGTGGTGCTCACAGTATTGAACTGTTACATTTAGATATATACCATTGCCAAGTGGTATATATATATATGTATATATATATATATATGGGTGATCTGACCTTTTAATTTATTCTAGTGATACCAGAAAGGTTAAAACTTGCCAAAACAACATCATTAAACAGGACCACATCACTACATGACAATAACAACACAAAGCGTATGTGAGGACCATGCCTTCCTCCATCAACATCATCACACACATCTGCATCATTTGTCTTCACGTCTTTATCTATACAAATTAACCTTCTCCTCCCACCACCTTCCCCACACGTTTTTCAATTAATCTGTTCTCTTTTAGCACGACAATCTGATCTTAATCACTTAATTGGAGTCTCCATTTGGGTCCCTAATCGACCCCGAGGTCCACGAGCCTGACTTTGTAATGGATGACTTTGTATACACAATGCAGCCTCTCCCAACAAGGCCGCACCAGCCCCCATCCCATACATCCCATCAATGGCTTGTCATGTTCGACTGTGTCGTCTTTTATATCCGGCTTTTCTACATTTCCTTGTCATTCCTGTTGCTTTTTATTCATGCGTGTCCCCCCCCCCCCTTCTTCTCGTCCCCTCGGCCTCATCCATCATCGTCCTGCAGAGGCCTGCTCAAGCCAGTTGAGGTGTCCAATGGAGGAGGGCCCCTGGGGATCCACGTAGTGCCTCTCAGTTCGCAGGATGTCAGGTAAGGGAAAGCAAAAACCTGAGAATCAATGCAGCTTAGTGCACAACAATAGCCAGTAAGTTTCACAATCCTATATGTCTGCTGCATCCTTTGGGTCGAAGCCCCGTGGATGTTGCTTTCTTTTTACTTTAACTCATCATTTCCCTCTGCTCTCTGTTCTTTCTTATTCACCTCTCTTTACATGCTGCTCCAGGCTTTCTATTTCACTGACTCTGACTCTTCCAGCCATCTTTTTTATTTTTGTGAGTCTCACTGCTGAAACACCACACCCACACTTAGCAACGCTCGTATCCGAAAGCTCCGAAGCCCCCAGTGGGAAGGAGAGCAGATGAAAGCAGCTTTGCTCTTGGCTGCACTTTTTTCCTGTGTTGTGTTATGCTTTTCTTTCATCCTAACCTTTGTCCTCAGTCACAATGCTTTCTTTTGCCTGTTTTTAACCAATGATGAGTGACGCTGACAGGGTGCAAGAGGAGGAATCCATCCCGGTTTACAGTTATTCCAGAAAAAATAAAGGACACAGGAAGTAGCCAGATGTAATCAAACTAAAAGCTCGTGTATAACACAGATCCCCGCTGCACGCCAAGGGACTGGCACACCACCAAGGTGAATGTCACTACTCAGCGCTGGGAGAGGGGAGGCAGGGGAGTGAGGTGAAAAGACAAAGTGAAGAGATGGAATGGGATGACATTTGAGGGAGAGAGGATGGCTGTCATTGAAGATTGCTGCGTGTCATTTCTTTGGGACACTAATCCCATTGCTGTTTATAAGCAAGTGTCAGGAAACTATATTTAGCTTTGACCTCGTGCCATCGACACCCTCAGAAGCTGTGACGCTTTGAGTTATCCTGAGTCACAAGAGGAAAGTAATGAATCACGATGAGTCGCACTAAGCAATACTGCTTAAATAAAGTTGAAATCCAGTCTGTCATCCTTAAGCTCCTCTGTGTTGCCAGAAAATCAAACAGCATCTTCAAAGATATAGCAGTGATGCTGCACGACCAGTACTTCTCTTCTCCATCAGCTAAGGTCGGCACTAATAGCTATCAGAGCCTTCAATTAACTTCAGACATGATAAGACTTAGCGTCTGGTCAGTGGGATGATGCTAATGGCCCGGCCCAGCTCCTTCCTGTGTGCTGTGAGCTCGGACAGGAGGCATTAGGCTCAGCGGGCTGTCATTAGTGTCTAGACCAGGGCCACGGGGGTCAGACAGCCGGCAAAACCAGACAGCAAACAAGGAGCTGCAGGCACTCCAGCGTCGGCTGCTCGCATTCTGCTCCACCGTACTGACATCAAGTTAGATCCAAGCGGGAGGGGGAGACAGCTGCAGGAGAGAGCTTAGAGACTCTGTCACCCCAGCAGATAGTATCTCTCTCCTTCTCTCTGTCTCTCTCACACACACACAACTGCACCTTTACTATGTGAGCTTACACCCATGCAGTTTGTGAACAGTATGGACTTAGCACGAGCAACATGTTCACACACAGACTCTTGCTGTCTCTTTCTATCTCTTACACACATGCAAACAGCTTGTGAGCCGCAGTGCTGGTCCACCTTGAATACTGTGCACACATGAAATATACTCTACATCTGCACACACACATACACACACACTCACACTCACGCCCCGCACAGATGCATTCTTTGCTTAATGAACTTCTCATACCATGACCAGTTTCAATTGTAAACAAACTGCGGACATAATTGCCGTGCATAAATGGATCCTGATTGGATTATTATTTGATTAAAGGCAGTAGATGAGAGCAGGTGGCCTCCTTCAAATCATTTCTCAGCACTGCTGCAAAGCCACAAGATGGAGTAAAGCTGTACAGTGTAATACAATACACTGATGTAGTGTTTTAGGAACAGTGGGACGTAGCAGGCTGTATATTTGTCTCCAAACTCTGCAGAGAATCTTCCAACTACGAACTCCCTGTTCTTATATCTGACACCTAATTAATTCACTGTCTTACAGCGTGTGAGAATACCATTTAGATTTTGCGTTAGCTCTCCTGCTTCCCCCAAGTAACTGATAAGTATCTGCAAAAAAAGCCATCAGTGAGATGGGTAGGAATTGAAAGGGTGGCAGTGCATTACAGTCATCACAATGATAGTGCTTTCACAAAATCATCATCTTCCTCAAATCTCTAAAAGATGCCGCTTTATCCCCAATCCTCCCTGCTGCTGCTGCTTTGAATACTGATCAGGGATCAACCAAAACTCCTTTATCTACTGTTTGTGGCCTGCTCCCAGATCAGAAGTCATTAGAGTGTGTCCATGCTGTAATCTCCATTCGCAATACTTTGTTTTCAAGCTGCCAACACTTATGGAGATAAAGCACAATCATGTCCGCTTCCACACGGCCTGCAATTACTCTCTGTTCAACACACTTAAGCTGACCTGGCAACGCCGGCTCAGACACCGAGAAAGAGGGAAGGGCCTTTTGTGATCTTTAATTTCAACTTAATGCCGAGCCATTTACCCCCATTGAGGAGCTGAGATGAGTCTGTGGTGAGAGCGTGGATGTCCACATTATGCAGCCAATTAGAGCAATGTTCTGAGAGTAGCCCTGTTTGCCTGAAATGCTAAAGAGCTGTGCAAATCTGCCCTTGATGTCCACGGTAAACAGGGTCACAATTTAAAAGTGCTGTTGTTTATGTGTCCGGTGAAGCGACAGGAAGTGACTGAGAATGAAGAAAAGCACTTGCCACTGATAAGCTGTGCAATTTACTTTATCTTGTCGATCTCACATTGGTTTCTGAATACTTTTGGCTCCGATACATTTCATCATTATTTTAATTTCCCAAAAGTAAGCCTGCAAACTTTTTGTCAGTTTATGCAAGGACACCAAACGTTTGCACTCAGTCACTCTACCTGCTACCTCAGGCATCTGGCGCCTTAGAGACGGATGGAGTTTGTAGTTCTGCTGTGCGAGCGCGCATCAGATCTCTTTGCATGTGGTTATCCTCAGGGCCTAACTAAAGCCCCAAGGAGCTCACTGATGTATTTATTTAGAGGGGGGAGTGCAGGGGGGTATTTGAAGGTAAAGGTTGCCTTTTTTTTGAAGGGATTGCTGAGATGGCACTGCCGTGGAACTCCTTGGGTATTTATTACAGCACTGCCGGCTCTCGTCTTAAGCTGCAGCGAAGGCAACTGCAGCGTTTCCTCTGAAGCCATAAGATGATCTTTTAGCTGTTGGTCTGGATTACCTCAGACAACCCGCCCTGTCATTCTCTCAAACCTGCCCACAGAAAGGCAGACAGAGTGGAGGACAGAGGACACAGGCTTAAAATTAAGTTAATAATGCAGTGCTTCTGCAGGCCGCAGGAAAATGCCAGTCTTTATCCAAGCTTAAAGTTTGGAAAGTTGACTTTCGGTGGCAGCAGCGTGCAGACGTAGAGTACATTACAACTGGGGTAAAGTTACTTTTAAAACAAAATCTGGTGTGGAAGAAAAAAACTAAATTTATTTAATGAAAATGCTATTTTGCCTTTACATTCACATCTATCTCCTCCTCCATACCTTCTTCTCTAGTCTCCTATGGCCTGTCATGACCTTTTTAAATGTAAGGATGAGGGAGACAAGGCTTGCAACTTGCAGCCTGCTGTTCAGTGTATTGATACATGACTGTGTGTGGTGTAATTGCTCCAGTATGTGTCTAAATTATGTTTCATCTGTAACATGTTTTGTGATCATTTCCAGGACTCATGGCCTGCTGGTGAAGCGCCTGGAGCGTGGGGGAAAAGCCGAGCAGGAGCGTCTCTTCCAGGAGAACGACTGCATTGTCAAAATTAATCAGGGAGACATTCGCCACCTGCGCTTTGAACAGTAAGCTCTATAGTCAGCCTTCTATCGATGGCTATAACATCTATCTTTTTCTGTACATCATGATCTTTAAAGTTTCTACTCACAGTAACTTTTCAGATCATTTCAGCATGTGCTGCTCTTGTCAGGTGCGCTGAAAGCCATGCTGATTTTAATTTCTTTCACTGCTTCCAAAGCTGGGACACATACAGTGTTATCCTGAAGCGCTGTCCGCACAGTGATGCAGCTCATACTGAGAGCACTGTGCTGGACATTAAGTGCGGTGACAGTAAATAGTGTTGCTGTTGATAAGTGGGGCCCAAACTTCAGGGAGACCCACACAGCCGCACAATAAAACAGAAATATTACCGACTTTGTTGGCCTTCCTCTAATAGGTCTCAGTGACCTGCAGTCCTTCACCACCGTGTCGCCCTCTGATCCAAAACCGCCTACACTCTTCTCTCGATTCATTTCTATCGATTCATCGCTCCCCTTCATTTCCTAAAGTGGAATGAAGATATAAACCTGGGACTTCCTCTGCCCATTTACCCAAAGCCACCCATCTCCCTCTCACACACACACACACACACACACACACACATAAGCCTCACACATACTTGCACTTGCGCTGACACACACACACAGCTATAACGTCTTATCTACACTTGTGTGTGCCTGTGCGTGTGTGTCAGGCTGAGAAATAGATTGCTTCTCCTCCAGGCAGGATTCTGGAGGCAGTGTACGGAGGTCTGCTCGGCTCTCTCTCTTATCATCCACTCCTCCACAGGAAGAAATAGCCTGGATTCCTGCTAACGAAGGTCCAGCCTACAGTCATACTGGGCTGGACATAGTCATCTAAAACCACTGGGCTCAGAGCCACCCTGCTGGATGATTGACAGAAACCAAGTTTGGATTCCCTCTGTGTTCAGAAGTGGAGCCAGAGACTACTCTATTTTTTTCTTGAACAACTCTATCGCTGTCAAAATGTATTTTCTTTAAGCAAGGCATGCCCAAAATGTTATTATCAACTTTGGCAGAGATGAGAAAAGCTCTCCATCAGCTTTGAAAACCTCACCACATTATGTTAATGTGTTCATCCGACTGTGTACAAAGTCACTAAGGTTTTAGGAATCTTTTTTTTTCCCCTTTTCAAAACGATGCTATTGTCATTAGTAAACATCCCGGTTTCCTTCCAAGCCTTTTCTACTGTGAAAGAGGCTTACAAACCAAATCCACTAGGGAGTGATGTTTTGTAGCGTTCCACACTTACTCCCCCCCCCCACCCCCGCCTCTGCCAAACACACGCTCCTCACTGGCATCCAAATGCATATGATGTTTGTGATTCTGCATGAAAATGAGGTGAAAGAGCTAAACTTTCCTCCCTGTCTGCCCTCCCCCCCCTCGCTCTCTCATCACTTCCTTTCCCGCCCTTGATTGTGCGCCGCACAGAGCGACAATTTAAAGTGATAGTCTAATCTCCTTGGATTGTTTTGCATGGGTAAATATTTTGAGGCGCTTAATCTAACTGAATGTAATGATGCATTGATGGGGTAATTTATTATTCAATCAGGCTCGTGTGGAGGCTGATTACTGGAGTGATGGCACTGTATATGTGCAGGTGGGAACATTTGCGCACACACACACACACTTATCACTCAGTCATCATTCCTCAGTGTGCACATGTGAGTGATTTTTGGAAATTACCATAAGAATAAAGATGGGAGGGACCAAATCCTGCAGAAGTGGCTTGGTACGGCGTGTGCGCCTCGCCTCTCTGACACCGCTCGAATGAAGTGCTGTCTGTTGTGGCAGAAGCAGCTTAGCGGCTGTCACTTGGACAGAATCAGCATGGTATTACTGCCGCGGTAATGGGGGTCTGGAAACAGGAGGTGGGATTGTTGGAATCCAGAAATCCACTGCTTCTCGGGCCCCTTATGCTGCAGCATGACTCCTCCTGGCCAGCCTATCTATATGCTAAGTGCCACCAGCAAACCAGACTAAACAATTCTTGCGTCTGGGAATCATGTTGAGCTCTTGTCTCGGCTTATGTGGCCCCGAAAGGAGCATGAGTGTGTGTTATGGCTTTTTTTTCTTGCTTTGTGTGTAAGGAGTGAAGCGTGCGTGTGCTTACTTTGGAACCTCATTGTCTGGAAAGCTTCCTTGATGCATGATTCATCATCTCTGTTCTGATTGTTGAGTCAACTCGTGTCCACACACAGACACACAGGCCACCATACTGTAGACTTAGATACTCCTCATACAGTATGTTTCACCGGCACACTACATAATGTTTCATCACTGACCCACCATCCTTATCTCATGCCTGTCTTGATGCTGGTAATTATAGATAATGTAATTTCTGTCCTCTGCTGCTACATGGTGAGTAGCCCTGCGATTAGCCATGCTAACCTCAACTCTCCCTATCACCTCTCAACATACAGCACCACACATCCTTCCTTATCCTCGTCTATCTGTAAAGCTATGATAGTACATTATTCTACTTCTATCTCTTATCATGTTAAAGCTAATTCATTTCTGTCTGCGTGACCTCCACATTCTCTCTCTTACTCTCTCTGTATCACCTCCAGAGCCCAGACCATCTTTAAGCAGGCGATGCGCGCCCCAGTCATCCTCTTCCACGTGGTCCCCGCGGCCATGAAGAGACAGTACGAGCTGCTGATGGTCCAGAACGAGCTCAGCCCACCCCAGTCTAACAGAGTCCGCTTCAGCCAGGATTCTCAGCAGTCAGGGGACAGGTCCAGTCTTGCTGGGGGGCTCACGTCCAGATCTGGACTACCACCAGGCCTCAACCACAAGTAGGGTTTACAGTTACCTTGTGTTACCCTATCCAGCAAGCATGTTAATGTTGAGATGTCAAAACAACCTGCAAAAAATTTGAAAGCCAGATAAAAGTGCGACACACAGCACCATGAAATGAAAGTTTCTCCTCTCTTCAACCAGTTGCTTGGAAAAATGACAAAAGTTCATGTTTGTTTATAATGAAGCTGAGCAGTGATTCTGTTTTAATTACACTAGTCAATGACTTCTCCTTAATAAGTTCACTGTGTTTAAAAGCTACACAATAAAAGTAAGTAAAGCAGTTTCATAATAATTTCTACCTGAGACCTTCAAGTTCACGTCGCTGATCATCTTGTTAAAAGCCCATTTCATCTGCCGGTGCTTACTATTAATTTCTGTAATGTCTTTGGCCTGATTCCAGAGAGCTAAACATGTGGGTGTTCATCAAGTAGGTCCTTGTCTACAGGTTTATAGTCTTAATTACAGTTTTATAAATGCATAAATCCTCTATCTGTCATCTGGATGCAACATTGAGCCAATCTGTCACAGAGACAATCATTTACTGCTGAGACATCATTGTTGTGTTGGATACTTTACATCATAGCAACGTCACAGATAATGGTCATATACAAACAGCTCTTATTATTAGCTCAAAGTTAAGAGAAAAAAATACATTTTATTCCCTAAATAACAACCCTGACCCCACAAGCAGTTTGTAAACCAATAAATGATGAGACTGGACGAGTGCATTTTCACCAGCAGATCAATCTGTGGAGCAGGCAGGGTCAGGTCTAGATGTCTGTTGTCGTGAGAGGTTACTATCATTATTTTCAAAAGTTGTCCTGACACTTGGGTGCTTTATGTTTTACCAAAATACCATGATAAAGAACTTTGTTCTTGTTTGGGTTGTTGTTGGAATGTCGTTGATGCACATCATTTCTTGTTGACCTACAAGTTGTAAATAAAAGGATACAGAAAATACCAAAACAGCGCTCACTTGAAATGTCAAAGGAAATAAAGTTCTGCTTCCTTCCCACCACATTAAGTTTTTCTGCAGGTAAAAAACAAATCAAACCTTATATTTTCTTGCTCTGCAGCCACCAGGGACCCGTGGCAGGAAGCACCCCAGAGACAAGCCGACGGTACACCACGTTACCCCACACATTGGTCTCGAGGACCTCGTCGGCCCCCTCCCCCTCCCTGCAGCGCAGGATAAGCACAACCCCATCAAACAGCTCCTACCTGAAGAAGAATGGGCGTCGATTCAACATCCAGCTGAAGAAAGGTAAGAACCAGCAGACACATGCATGCTTGGATGAGAAGGTAAACATCTAACCACGCTAACCATTTGGTGTTTTCCTGACGCATTTGTGCAGTGTTTTGGCGCCAAGTGCAGATCACACATGGGAGGAGAGGCGCAAACAGGAAGGAGGCCGAGGAGTTGTTGATATTTTGGTGGGAATTGAGTCAAAATAGATGTCTCAGACCCAACGTCTGTTTCTAGTGCAGTGTCACTCCTCTGCCGCTTTGGTGGTTTTATCAACAAGAGCAAACCAAATATGTGGAGCAAATGCGCACCATGTGTCTGTGTGTGCAGCATCCAGACAATAATACGACTTCCTGGAGAAGCCAATTAGCTGAGCGAGTGGCATCATGCGTCATTGTGATTGGCACAGCTGTTTCAGAGCCATGAGACCAGTGATGTGACTGGCTGAGAATGTTTTAATTATTCAACTTAAACCAGCCATTGTCTCCCTTAAAATGGGGCCCGGACAGACTGAGAGTGGTTTGAGTTTGTTTTACAGCCATGAGAAAATATGAACGTCTTCTGCCACCATTTCTGTCACTGCGTTCATTGACAAATTACATCCACTATCATCAGAGCGTCGTAGAGGCGTTCTGTGTAACAGATTATATTGCAAAGTGTGCAGGTTCTATTTAGCAGGCTGGTAGACTCTGTGAAAGCCAGAACCAGCAGCATTCTGCATTCTACTGCACTTAGAGGTCTTTTTAATGCACAAACATACAGTTATAATATTTTGATCATCACACCATAAAATCATTCATTCATCAAAGGGAGAGCAGATGCAAATAACACCTCTCTCTCTTTCTACTCCTGCCTTGTTCACCCATGTTCCACTCTGTCACAGCCCTTTACTCTTCATTGAGACAAAGGACATGTCGTGAATCAGTTTAACAAAAAGTGAGCTTTAATGCAGCTGATTAAAAACTTCCAGAGGAAGCAGGTAACTGGAAGTCCAAATGAACACAGAACCAAAACTAAACTGAAAACCCACCGGAAGAATATGATGAACTCAGGTAAAAAATCCAAACACAAGATCGCAGACAGGAAACCGAGCAGGGAACGACACCAAGATCACAGGGGGGAGCACTGGAGTGGACGCAGGGATGAACGAAGGTCAAACTGACCAGGAACAAAGGGAAACACACAGGTATATATACAAGGACGAGACACAGCTGGAGTAGGAGGACACGGGCAACAGGAGGGAAATTGGGATTGGCTAACAACAAGGGTGTGGAGGGGAACACTGAGGTGTATCCTCGATCACTTGACCTGGAATTCAGTTGAGACTCGGCATCTTGTGAGACGTCTTAATTAGTTGGCTGCACTCGGAGGAGTCCAGGAGAAAGGAGGCTTTCAGAGAGGAGAAAAGTGAGGATACAAGAGTGCAGCCTTTGTAGAAGTCTTTTACCGACCGATATCAGTTATTGATTGAACAGCTGATCGCACTGATATGATACATCTCAACATCACTGGAGTTTCATACCAGAGTGAAGACAGATAACAGATTAAACTCAAGTGTATCACTGCCACGTTTTATATTTTATTTGTTTTCTGATTCATCAAGTTAAAAAAAAAATGTCGAAAATTTTTATCTTGACAATCTGTTATTTCCCTCATCAACTTTTATTATGGATACAATCAAAGTCAGAGAGTCTGTCAGTCAGTAGGAAACACCTTTACATCACCGACTGTCGTTTCTATTCAGTCACACTGAGGCTGATCATTCCTGAGCGTCAGGTTGATGAGTTACAGAATTTTAATTTTCCCTGAAACATTTGGCCTAATAAATCATTTCCAGTGTTCAAAGGCACCATGATCATATTCTGGGTTATTAAATAATAAACTCACAATCAGGATATCAATAAATACAGATGTTAGTAATTAATAAATCATATAAACACATTGTGTGACTGAGCAGGACACAGGACAGATTATAAATACAGAACGCAGGTTGTTCTTGTGCAGGTGATTGTTAGACAGAGACAGAGAGAAAACACTGCTGCTCTGCTACTGAGAACTGAATCTGTATCTTTAGCATTATATATGTATATATAACATTATGTGTGTGCAGACACAACTCCGTTAAAAGTTTCTATAGCTGTTAATAAAACCTCCTGACAGCTGATCCAGCTGTAATCAGCAGCCTCCATCATCACAAATAAACGTTGTTTCACGAGACGCTTTAGAGCAAAGACGTCTCATTTCTCTGAGGACATAATTTCACCTTTCTTCTCTCCTCGTGTCTCATCCTCGCATCTCTTCCCTGTGTGTCACAAGGGTGGAGCTAAGACATGAGGAAGAGACACAAGTGAGGGAAACATGGATGCGAGATCAGGTATTGGCCGAACACTAGGGTAGAGCAAACAAGACTAATACAGAACAGGTGTGAAGGAAAGGAACATGGAGGGACTAACGAGACAGGTGTGACAGAAAACAGGCGGGAAAACACATGAAGACAGGAAGTAAAACCAGACACGACACATGAGGAGAGAATCTACAAAATAAAACAGGAAGCAGATTAAACATGAAACAAGGAACACAAACAGGAACCTCCAAAACAAAGTCCATAGGATTACAGAATATAAACAAAAGGCCAGTACACAAAGGCGGTCTCATCACGTGTGCATCGATTTTCTCCAGAGTAAGTAGGTTGAGGGAGACGACCTTAAATCTCTCAGGAAATATTCACGAATCTCTGCCTGCCTTTGGCATTGTTGGAGTGAGCAGGCCAAAGCAAACACAGATCAACCGCTTCTTGAAAACAGAGGTTGCGGTTTGATGCACTCAGGCAACATCACCATGCTCTTGTGGTTGAAATATTAACATTCAGCAATCAGTCTGCTTCCAGCTGACATTGGTTTGTTTGTGGACTTGGACAGGTCTTTGATACTGGAGCAGCTGTATATCTTAGCCAACCATTGTGGTGACTTTACTGCCAGACTCCATCTCACTTTCATCGCTTCACTATCTTCATGTGAACTGACGAGCAGTTGCTTGTAAAATGAGCCAACGCTGATGTGACTCGCCTTCTCGTTGTCTCTCCTCTCTTTGCTCCTTTTTTTCTGTTTTAGGGAGCAGATGTTAAGTCAAAAGCTGGCACCGAGGCCGCAGCAGCGAGCTTCAGGGAATAGTACGGCGAGCGAGGGCAGCAGCGCAGGCTAAATGCAATGTGCTCAGGGGGAATGTAGTCACAAGCTGCTCTAATATGTTTGGCGAAGGTCCCCGAGCGCTGCCAGCAGAGTCTCAGAGTTCTTATACTGTGTGGGGCTGCAGTGCGAGTTATATTTATTTGTTTATAATGTGATAAAGTTCCTCTCCTTTTTTCTATACACAAGCCTCTCATTTTCGTGAAACCACACTGGGGCGATGCTGGTGGAGCTCCAGCAGCTCCAGATACTGATGCCAGTAGTGTAGTTTATTTTCACTAGCCACTTCATGGTCTAATTCAACAGCAGTCATAAATCTCAAAAGTATGCTCTGGCCCAAGTGACAGAAATGGTTTTTGAGATTATTGCTCATGATTTAAATGGGGCTTACCGGAATGGATGCGCCTCGCTTGTAAACTTCAAGCCATTCATGTTCTCTAAATGGAGATGAATTATTGTCCAAATGTTGTTGAACTGGAAATTTAACTGAGCACTAAAACCCGACAGAGTCGAGGCAAGTGTGCCCCCGAAATCCACTTTGACAGTTCCATTTGATTACCATCAGACTTTATCACTACTAATGTACTTTTAGAAAGGCTTCAGCAGTTTTGTTGTTGTCTCCTTGTAATTGTTGTGATTCGGACTAAGTGGGCCTGAGTTCCGAGTGGCGGGAGCAGATCTCGCTTGGCAAATTAACAAGAGTGCCTTAATCAAATACTGCAGTCGAAAAGGACATACGCAACCCATTAAGTCATTCTAATGTGCCTCAGCCTCTCCTCATGTTTGCTGTTTAATTGGCTTATTGGAGCCAGGATTCCAACTAATCCAGAAAGGATACAATTACTTTTATCCTGGTCTTCTATTACCCAAAATAAAGACGTCAGTGGTTAATTACTGCAGGCCTATTAGAGATGCATTCTCCTAATTGCCTGATTGGAGACCGTTAATGACGAGATCTTACAATGGGCAGGAGTTTGATTCTGCTCATTAGGCTGTGTGCAGGCCAGGGGAGAGGGAAGGCACCAGCAAGGGAGGGGGGTCACAGTTGGAAGGGGAACAAAGACAGAGATGGAGAGGATTTGAAAGTAGCACCATGATGTGTGGCTTATCCGGATCTGAAACTGAAGGATGGCGGTACAGTAGTGCTGGTGATGGGGTAATGATCGGCAAATTTTATTTAGGAATCTGTGTTAGAAATAAAATCTGTCTGTAAAGTTAATTTTGAGTATATCTGCTGCACTGAGTCGGGAACTGATTGCCATGGCAGCTACGTGACCTTGTATTAAAAGTTTGACACTCGCAGCGACGAACTCCGCAGATTTAACATTCAACATAAATGATAGCAGCTATTTCTGTCTGCTTAGTTATCATGCTGCATTGATGGGGAGATCACAGCACATCATTATCCTCAACAGCTCAACTTTTTGACTTTACGAGCAACCTCTTCATCACCTTCCCGCAAGTTTGTTTGTGTGTGTGCAGAAGCCACAAGAAAAGTTGTCACGCATGCTGCTCACTCTTTGTGTTCCTTGTTCATCAGCACCATCACTGTCAGTGAGACGACAGAGAGTTTGTCAGACTGCTAGAGAGACATACTGGGGAAAGTAGGTCATGATGAACCATCAGAGGTGTTGACAGCTATATGAAATGAGCAGCTACTTTGACATGAATACTAATCACTGTTGTTACCCTCAGAAAAGCCTCCACTGAAACCACATAACGCGTCTTTCCCACTTGACTGCTAGAAACGCCAGCGGCTAGGTTATGCATGGTGGAATGTATCTTTCTGAACACTGTTGGTAATGACTCATCTAATAGCATTATATAGCAGGGTTATTGAATTTTAAAATATGCTGTCAAAGAATAACCCGACAAATACAATTTATTTGGTTTTGCTCGTTCCTCAGCTGACATTTGGAACCATTACTTGCTTTTATTTGACAAATTCAGGTCCGGTCAGCAGAAAAGGTCAGGCCTGAGATCCTCGTATTTATCCGTTATTGTATTTGCCTACTCTCTTCAGACTAGCAATTCATATTCATTTGATGAACCTTAAAGGTCAGTCTTAAAACCTAAAGCAAATATCTTTGCACAGCTGATAGCTCAAGTGTTTTCACAGGTGTAGCTGTTGAATTTAGTCTTACCACTCACTGCACTTCAAAAAGGAATGCAGCTCTTGCTCAGTGATACATCAGTAAGAAAATAATGAACACAAAATAAGCACAGCTTTCTGTGCTTCGCAGACTTCAGACTGTCTATATATCAAATAAGATTGCCTTGACTCAGACATGATTTAAACGTAGCTAAGCCTGTCATGATAATTATGTTATTGAATTACCATACGATAAAATGTTATACGATTTGTTCATACAGAATGTCATCAACATTTTAGCCAACAGAATAAATAGCAGGGTTTTCCTGACCATTACAAGACTTGGGTGCAATGATTCTCCCTTTTTTCCCCTTCGCCCCACCTTCTTGTGCAAGTCCAAAGAAAAATTTAAGCTGCAAACAGCGATGAACGGGCCCTCGCACCTTCACGCAACTCGGGGGTGCTGTCAGGACGCCGGCTGATGTGGCAGTTCATTTCTGTCAAAGTCAGACACTGCACGCAGGAGTGAGATGGCATATCCTTCATAACCTGGAATGGCCTACTTCACATTTTGTACCATTTCCTCTTTCCACTAGAGGGTGCTGGAGAACACACCAGTAATATGTCATGTTTTTGTACATTAGATATAGACCACAGCATTTAAATTTAAGGTAAATCAAAAGATCAGAGTCTGATAAGACTTACTTCCTGTCACCACAAGGTGGCGCTATGACTATCAGGAAATATGGTCATATAAATCTGTTCATACCAAGACTATTATGAATCATGTGAAGTTTGGTGGAGATCGGACCATTTACTGCAAAGTTCTACCAATTACGTGTCTCCTTAAAATTTAACACTCCGTAGCGGTTGTGCCATTCAACACTGGGCGGATGTTGTTATAACTTAAGATCACAACGTAGTCAGGCTCACATAAACTAAGTCTGAAGCCAATCTGATTAAATCTGTAGGACACGTTTGTCAAAACACAACACGTGGGAAACGCCAAAAATGACGATGAAATTCAAAATGGATGACTTCCTGTTGGGTTTAGGCAATGGGTCTTGATACAGGTATTCAACGTCTTTCATGCATGTCGGTGAAACATGCCGCAGGGGCTGCACTTTAAGGGGTGTGACCTAGCCATTTGCCCTACCCACCAATGACAGCCATATTACACGTAAATGTACATACAAATTTACAGTTCATGCAAAAATGGGCTCATTTCCAAGTAGGTTAATATCCCCAAAAAGGCGATTTACTTACTTAAACAACACTTCTAAGACGACACAGCGTAGCATACCGGTCGCCTTCATCTCCACTTTTGGCATGGAAGAGTCTCTTCAACCCCTGGCAACGAACCAAAATGGCTGACAAATGTCCTTTGTAGTTTACCCTCCAACAACTTCATCCTTCATTCTGTTAACCCACCAGCAAACCGCCAAGCTCCCAGGCCGCCCATCCTCGGGACCCAACTGCAGCACACCGACAATAATTTGGAAGTAACTGTGGTGTTAAATGGACTGCGTTTGTGTAGCGAGACCACAGCTTTTACACTACATGTCACATTCACCCATTCAGAGGCTGCCGTATATGGTGCCACCTGCTACTCAATAACCATTTACACACTCTCACACACCAATGTAACAGCCATCAGGAGCAGGTTGAGGTTTAGTATCTTCACCAAGGATACCTCGACATGCAGACTGGAGGAGTCCGGGATTGAACCGGTCTCCAATTTAGTGTTCGATCTGTTCTTCCTCCGAGCCACAGCTGCCCCACATTATTATTGTGTTCCAGGGGCTTCGCTAAGATAATCTTTTAGTCGCAGGAGACAGCACTTTATTTTGTTGGGGGCTTTTATTGGCCAAATTTTGTATTAAGTCTCAAAAGTAATTTTGGGCTACTCCTATTAAAGTACTGCATCATGCACTTTCTTTTATGAAACCGGTTATTATTACCTTTCTAAATCGTAGAATATTTTTTTCATATTGCAATACGAATGCCTGAATATTCTTAAAAAATTAAAGTTCATCACTCTTTGAAAAAGTACTTTCATTATTATGTTATTATATTAACATGATATCAGTGGCATCAGTGGTCTCAAAATGACAATAATATCAGTTATTGTAATTATCTCTGGGACAATAACAAAATTAGTCATCATGACAGGCCTAAACGCAGCCTCCTGACCTGCCGTTGTACCAATAAGCCTGAAGGGTTTTTTTTTTGGTTAAAACATCTGGCACATGGAACATGGATGATTTACAGAACAGCATTTTTGCTATTTAGGTGTAGTACAGTACGTTTAAGATGTTATTGAACGGCATTTTGATGCATTTTGCAATCCATAATCATTCACTTTTCTCTGCTTATTCTGGTCCCTAACCGGTCTTTAATCCGGTCAGAACTCCCGAGCGTGGCTTTAAAGTCCACATGCACTTAACATAAACACTCAATTTTGGTTCATAGCATTGACACTATATTTAGAGTTTGGGACGTGTTTTCATTTTGACTTCCTACAACATGTGAATGCGACACACCCTGATGGCAAACCAATAAAAAACGTCAGGTTGGAAGTAAGTCTGTTTGTATTAACTATAGGAGGCTCAGAACATGTTGGAAAACCATAATTTGATCCCTGCGTAGTGGTTTCTCATGTTACAGCGGCGTGTAATGAAAAGGATCTTTCAGAAATGGTTTCAAGAGTCTGGCCCATTTCTGAGAGACACAGTAAAAAGCAGTGTGATGGTTTGGCAAGACATTTAAACGTGCCTTTCTGACTTTTATTAGAAATAACTATAATGATATTCACAATATTTCCAGTAAAATGCACATATAGTAACAGAAAAATCAAATCATATTTCATTGTTTTTGTAGCTACAGTGTTGTATAGTGCATGTTTGTTGTCCGTCAGTGACTTTTTGGAATGAAAGCACGAAAATGAATGTGTACCTGGAGAAACAAATCTCTTGTTGTTGACATTTATGAACCCATATTGAGGTGCTAGAACACTTTACCAAACATAAACACATGCACATTATTTACTTCTTCCTCTTCAGCTTCCACAAGGCTGTAAATCAGTAATATCGCTGTTATATTTCTGTTGTAGCGCAGCACGAGAGCATGCAGGCTGGCAATCTTTCAATTTTATTTCCCAGGTTCGTGCACCTCCGCTGGCAAAATGTGCCTAATCTAGTGTCCTTGAGCAAGATGCTGAAATCTCAAGGACTTATGTTGTGTAGGAAGCTTCATAAATCTCTTTATTGGGCAGCAGGAAAACTAATCAGCAAATGATCACTTTACATTTGTTTTCCATTAATTGTAGGTCCAGAGGGTCTTGGGTTCAGCATCACGTCCAGGGACGTCCCCATCGGTGGCAGCGCTCCCATTTATGTCAAAAACATCCTTCCTCGAGGAGCCGCCATCCAAGATGGCCGATTGAAAGCTGGAGACCGGCTGCTGGAGGTGGGGCAACCTCCAACCATTATACAGTGTTCACACACAGAGATTGTATGTTATGTTAGAGACTAATTAGTCTTTCTCTGATATGGTTTTGTTCCAAATTTCAATCTTACAGAACCTTGTCAAAATGAGTCAAACAAGCTGCGTTCCCTATGGCTATAACAGTTCAGCTCCAGCTTTAAATTGCTGAGGAAAAGTGGTTAGATGGAACAATATTTTGATTATACTTCAATCAGACTGACATGAAAATCAGCCAGTGCTCACTTTAGGGGGAAATAACCCATGTTTAATTCCAGCTCCGACTGACTCAGTGGGTAATCTGCATAAAGGTTATGTGGAGGCCATAGATTCCTCCTCGTTAAAGTCAGAGAGCTCTTTGATTTTTGTTTTTCTGCTGAGCGTGTGTGTACTTTCCTCTTATGTATGTGCTTATCTGAGTATTTATCACACTGTGTGTGTGTGTGCAGGTTAGTGGAGTAGACCTGAGTGGTAAGAGCCAGGAGGAGGTGGTGGCCCTGCTCCGAGCCACGCCCATGGGAGGAACTGTGAACTTGTTGGTGATTCGCCAAGAGGACTCCCTGCTGCCCCGAGAAGTGGTCAGTATCCAGCCGACACCTCACTTCATACCCTACTGAGAAATAAGAACATCACTGCAGGAAATCCTACATTTTTAACAAGTGATGGCACCTTGTTATTCTCACTTTTAAACCCTTAAAAACAAATAATGGAAATAAGGAAAATTAGGAATTTCTCAGACCTGCAGTAGAAGAATGGGAGACTTACTTTGCTGGTGATTGTTTTGGTGTATATTACAATTATTATTGTTTACAGGGAATCAACCAAACTCCCACAGTCAATTTGGTTCAGCGCATCCCAGCTGACTCGATGAGCTCACTCTAGGAATATGGTAAAGAGCACTAAATGTGTTACATTCAGTGCAGCTGGGAAATGGATTTATCATGGTGGCTGCACTGATGTGCCTTTAACTGCTCCTCAAATCCATCAGCCTCTCTGATTGTCTATCTTTCCAGAGGCTCTCTGCACTGCAGTTTTTACATTATTGTGTCTGTTGCATAATTCTGTCAGTGTTGTATTCCTTAAAAGAGGTTAGTAGCTGCTTCCCTCTGAAGGATTTATACCTATAAGACGCTATTTTAAAGCTGCAACGGTGGCTTCGAAGTCTATATGTGCCTCAGTATTTACACAGCCACCCTCTTTTACCCCAATAGAATGAGAGCACACACACACTTTTTGTGCGGATGTGCATTGACATAGAAACACACACAGACTTATGGTGCACGAGCAGGCACAATCACCGTTTTTAGTATATGCACACACACACACACACATTCGCACACAAACAGGGACACTGACATGCACACATTGTTCATACGCACAAACACACTCTGGCACTCAGACACACAGCCTACATACAGGGTGACTTTGGCTGTCGTGCAACAGATGGCGGGGCTACTGCCCTCGTCCAGCCTGCGCTCAGTCGCTCTGACAGCAGGCTCGGGCGTCACAGCACCTTGGCAGTCCAGGGGCCCCCGATGCCAACCTCGCTCCTACCCGTAATACTCAGCCTGGCACCCGGGCTGTTAACCCCGCCATAGGAGCTGTTCAACCTGTAGAGTAATGGCCCTCTGAGACACATTTTATTCTGCTAATGTGCTGTTTCTCCAGAAATGCAGCACTCCCAGCTCCACTCTAATCGGTCTACAGCTTTACTTTAATTTTAACATTCATAAAATGGCAAATGGGCTCATATTTCATTCCTGCTTATATTAAAGGAGCCGTAAGACTTAAATTTAGGAAGCGTGCGCAATTGTAAAATGTGTCACTGATGTTAAAAGTTTAAAGGCAACATCGTATTGGCTGCTGCTGAGATCAAACCTCTGACCTTCAGGTTACTCAACAGGCACACTTAACTCCAACTGGAAGGATGCACCAAACTGATTCATACTGCCTGTCAGCAGCCTTGACAGCAGTTGAACGATGCTGCGAGGAGTGTTAAAAAATTCACGGCTGCCCTGGGCTGTCGACTCACGAGAGGCATGGAGTGAGAGTTTGATGGCTACGCTCTCTCAGCTCCTCAGGCATGACGCGATTAGAAAAAAGCCCATCAGTGGAAACACTGTCTAATAATCTCCCTCTGTTTTTGTCTTGTTTCCCTCCTTTGACCAACTTCTACACGCTGTGAGAGGCTGCTACTTAATATTTCATCACTTTCCACGGCAGATTAGCATTTTTGCTACTCTCTCCCATACTGTTCCTTTTTTCTCGTCCTCTCACACATTTCCCAGCAGTGCTTTCACAAATCTCAATAATCCCTACAAGTATGTTCATAAAAATCAGATAAGGAGGCCAAGGCTCTGCCGGTGACAGTTATTGCAAATAAAGCATGGAGAAAAAGCATGGTTGGTAATTGCCTCCCCTGTCACACACTCTGGATTGGACCGCGAGTGTGTATGTGTGCGGGCATGCATATATATACTACACACTCTAGTGCCAGGACGCACATAAACACACATGTATAGTCGATCACTTATGTGCTGTCATTCATGTAATTCCCTCAATGACAATGTGATGATGTTTTAAACTGTAGCGTGAGTGACATGCCAGAGAACCGCAGGCGTCTGTCAAAGACATATAGTCCTCCACACCCCCCCACACACACACACATACAGCTGTATAGATGAAAATAGAGAGGAGCCAGTTTTTTGTCTACTTGACATTTGCCTGCTGATGTTTAATGCCAGCGCCAAAAATCCCTCCACATCTCCTTTTGTTTAGATGTTTTATTGTATGCCAGGCGGGTGTTCTGCACGCGCCCCCAGTGGAATTAATTTACCCTCCCAGCATGTTTGCATTGCGTCTTTAATTACCACGGTTGGGTGTATTTTGACATGCTATCAGTAGCAATAGCAGTGGCTCTCAATAGCTTTCAATAAATATGTACTTGCTGCGGAGAGAAAAGGTTAAATAGCTATAGAGCAGAGCGGGGTGTCGTCTCTGTGATTTCCCCATCTTTGTCTGTCTCTCCCCTTATACTCCGAGGATATCAATAGACATTTTCAGACAGATACAGTATGTTGTATCAGCGAAGCAGAGCAGCTTTAACCTTTACCAAACACTGGACTCATCACTAATAAGCTTGCCCTTTTATACCTTCTTTTTCACTCTTAAACCTTTACCATCCATGATAACACAGTCATTTATAAAGTTGTGTTTTACAAGTTTTGCTCTATAGGACAAAGCCTGTGACTTTCAGGTTAGAAGGCATTCATTGAAAGAGGAGGGGAAGACGAGCAGAGACAGTCAGACAGAGTTCTCTCTAAAAGCTCAGCCTGAACCCTGAAGACACAGCAGGAGACGCTGATCAATGGCTGTGTGAACAAAGTCACTTTATGCTGTGTTATTCGTTCGCTTGACAGCTCTGGGAGTTAGAATGAGTGGTTTTCAGGGAGCTGAGGGGAGAAAGTCAGAAGGATTGCCGCCCCCTACGGGTTTGGAGGTTAATTCATCACTTGTGTCATTGGAGGGGGCTGTTATGAGTAGGAGGAAAGACTTGTGTGAGACATATCTCAGTGACAACCCTGAATATGCATGTGTATTAGTAGTGACTCAGTGATTTGTGATCTTTAGATAACTTTTTCCTGTCCGCACACCCTTGTCATGACTGATTGTCATTGGAGAAAGAGTTTATCTGACGTAAAGAGACGAAGGCATTGGGTGACACTGGTGGAAAGAAACAGGAAATTTAAATGATAATGATCGAAAAGTAATCATTGAATCGTAGATGGATTGGAGTTAGGTTCAAAGTGAATGTAGTTTGATCCTGTCACAGTTCTCCCTTCTGTCACTTAGTCTGACCAAGCAACACATTCTCACTCCGACCTCGTCACATGTCGACATTTTGGTCATGGACTTTCCACGTCCACATACGATGTGCAAGGTACCCTGGGTGAATCGGTTGATGACGTTCTGGGACACTGTGTCAAGTTCTTTTCTTTCAAGATACTTACTTATATTCTGTTTTCACTGGAAATACAGTCTCTTTCAAAATAAACGCACTACATCGATACAACACCACAATTTGACGTATTTTTTCCTTAAACAACAAACATACATGGTTGGGATTAGGCAACAATAGCACATGATTAGGTCTAGGAAAAAAAGAACAGGGTTTGGCTTCAGAACCTTACAAGACGCGAACATTGCTCTCTCAGGTGAAAGTTGGTGTTGGACCCATCCACCACCCTTCCTGTCCGCCCCAATCCGACTTTCACTGCCTTACCATTCGTCCTTGTCCCACTGTGTTTCTCCCTGACGCAGCTGGGCACCATGAAACTATAACGGCAACCGGCAGCATTATCATGTTGACGATAAAGGACGCCTTTTTTCATTGGTTTCTGACACTGCAAGTCACTGCCCAAGCACTGGATTTCAACGACTTCGGAGTGAAAACTGGCTTGACCAAGCAGCAACCCCAGGACTGAAAATGTGGAAGTGCCAAACCTGCAGCTCCTCTAATGGCCACTTGAGGCTGACTTCAAGAGGAAGTCAATCCTCACAGACCCCCATGTTAGAATGCTCAACTTTACAGCAGATACGAACATGTTTACAGCCTGGTACAAAAAACAGTTTTGGTCTTTATAGTTAATTTCAACATTCACAACAACTGTATGTGGGATGAATTGTTATATGACTTAAAGTTAATTATAATTAAGCAGGTGGCCGCTTTGAGTGACAGGTGGATGCCGTTGATTGACAAGCAGCTACCATGGCAGCAATATTGATTAGGTAATGTAGCCATGGCTTAATCCCAGATTCACAGAGTATAGGTGTAGCCGTAGCTGTTGCTATCGCACTGTATTGTTCAGTTAATGAAAGTTAATTGTAACATTTTGGTTGCCTAAAAAAGTCTTGTTCAGCGTTTGGTTGCGCCAAAAGACCCTCTAAGGAGTCGGATGTTCAGTGTTACCTGTTAAGTACATTTAGTTTTAATGTCTTTCGATTGTGAAAAATGATCAGTTTTACATTTAACCATAGCTGTAAATGTGCCATACTAACTAAGCTAGCAGTGAGCGTCAGAGTTAGCACCACCTTCTTGTCCAAATATGGTCGCGTCTGGCTCCAAAAATCTAAGACGATAAACTTGAGGCTTCAAAACAGGAGTCTACAAACCAAAGGGGGACAGCCTGGTAGCTACATCCACTTCTTTTATACAGTCTATGAGTCTGACACCAGCCACCATGCTCCTCTGTCTCCCTCCACATTATCCATGATCTCAGGTGCAATCACCTGCCTGGTAACACTGACCACAGCAAGGCTCAGCAGTAAAGTTGTATTATGAAACAACCCTAGACACACCAACAAACACACTCACCACTGGCAGTCCCACATGGAGGCAAGAAAGGCACATTTAAGCACATTTATACACACATATACACTGCACACTTCCCACGCATAGCCAGTGGATGTTATTTATTGTTGGCATTTATCTCCCAGCGTGCAGCACTGTTTGCGTTTACAGCTGCAAGCGACACCGAGCCTTCAGTCCACATTGCCCAGCTTTGTGGAGATTGTTTTC